TGCAACGGCTGTACAGAGCGGGAGTACGAACGGCCCTGACCACGGCAAGTCTGCAAGGTAAATGTCTGGGCGAATTATATCAGTAGTATAAAAGCTAATAAATTAATTTATCATGCTATATTTTCAGCGAGGTAAACAGATTAGTAAATATTCTAAACTAATAAGATGATAAGCGCTGTTCTTTCGGCGTGATAAGCGATGTAATGTGTTTTAACGCTTCAACGACACGTAGCTGATAAGTTATTTCTGAATGAATTATAGGTGCAATAATTTACAATGCGCCATTATAAAAATCTTTTGATATATTTCATCCGAAGTAACCGAAGCTGTTTCAGCCGAAGTGCCAAGTTTTTTGCTAAAACAATTTTATGGATTTCACACGATCTTTGTTTTAAGTGGTATACTTCATTGACTTATGATAGGTGTCTTTACACTGACTTTCGTCAGTTGTAACACTGTAGTATTTTACAGCGTTAACTGTTTTGAAGTTTCATGCAATGCTATCGATTTTGATTTAATTGAAATTTCCACATTACCATATTAAACTCTCACAATTTGACATTGTTGCTGCTAGATTAACGGAGACCATGTTATGAAGAGAATAAAAATTAGCATTCTCAGTTTACTACAATCTCCAGCCAATGACTCATTAATACTTTGACATACTACTGCTTTGTAGCTAAGCAGTCACGTATCTTTCCCTTATCGTGTAGATATCGATTAAAATTCCAACGATTTCAACAGGGCTTATGCAAGATATACTTCAATTAATAGGCAGTAAACTTTAGTATCTATACGCACACGCACTGCAAAAAATCGAAAACTACATTCTCCACACAGCATCACAAAAATATCCTAAAAATAATGCATTCCTAATGTGGCGTCCGCGACTTCTCACATCCGTGGTGGGCCTTATATCGATTAAAAAGAGACCTTGCCAGCCGTCATGTTTGTTTTGTAGTTTCTAGTTACATTTGAGATACACGATGGCCATGCGCATACATCTATGAGGCAATGCATTACGCTGATTTGATCTATTTAATTTGAAAAACTAATTAGTAGATTTTTAAATACATTTTTATTTGAAATATATTTCATCAAACCAGTAGGCAAATATGTTAAAAAACTTTACAATGGCATGTTAAGAAACTGTGTATTCGCAATATTTCAAGGATTTTTTAGTAACAAATAATTTCGTATAAACAGCGTATATAGCATGTTCAGCAATAACACACAAATTTTAATACTATAATATTAAGCCAAGGCACACAACGAACATACATTTTAACAACATATAAATTTATGATTAAATTTGTTCACAGAATCGGTTGCCCCGACAGGGACTCGAACCCGAGCTTTCTGGTTTACGTCCAGCTGCTCTAACCATCTCAGTAGCTTAGTGGTGCTTAAACACTCGAAAGTATCCGTAAGCCGTTTGGTGCCCAGATAATTTATACTTCCACTTACCATCCCCGAAGAATCGAAAGATTTCAGCAACCACTTGAGACGGCGAAGGCAGATTCAGCCGTTCAATTTTTTTTTTTTTGATAGGAAGATTTTAGATTTTTGTTAAATAATAAAGATATATTTATTATATTTAATACCATCTACTATCAGATATTATTAATTTTTAAATATTTAAATAATTGTAACAAATAAAAATTTAAATTGATTAATTTTTACCAAATAAACAAAGTAAACGCAACAAACGAAAATAAACCTTTAATTTAATTATAAAACTATGGTATACTAATGTAATTTAAACATATCAATTTAGAAAAAAATCATGAGTACGTTATATTTCCTCTTCAGATATTGTTTGATGAAATTTATGTATTTAGTAGATAATGAACTATGAATTGACGACAAAGAGAAAATAGTCGACGTTTGCAAAAGTGGAAGTGTGGAATTGGAAAAGAATAATCGATATAAGTTTATGTATCTAAAGAAATACAGGTATGTAAAATTAAAAAAATCTACCATCATTCCCACTTTTCACAAGTCCAAAAACATTCTTAGTATATTTTCCGCTTTTCAAGCTCGTTTTTACACCCTGGTCACGTAAAATGTTTACGATTCTGAAACACGATTATAAAGTATGCGATGACTACTACATTTTAAACTTAATATCCTACAACCTACTTTTGTCCCTTAACAGATACAAAACTTCACTGAAATCTGAAGTGGCATGGTTTTCGTAAAAGGCAACGCTCTAACAAAACAAAACATCTCACTCTACGAGTGCAATAACAGACTGCGCCGCGTTAACTGAGTTTAGAACGTGCGGTTACTAAATAAATACATTTCGGTATTCATTTCTTCTGTCTTCCTACGATTTTTCATATGCTTTTTATTTTGTATTTTTCTTGATTCTCTATTTCATTGCATGATTCTTATTTTTTAATTTTTCTTGATTCTCCTCTTTGGTTACTTGGAAAGTTTATGTTGTCCATGTATCTTTAACTGTTAATACTCTGATTTAATGTAGGTTTTTTGAAATATTTATTATAATTTGTCATAAGAGTTTTACGGCAGGTACATTTCCTTTAAGGGCAAAAACAGGTGGAAGTATCTTCACTTCTTTCGTGAAAACTGATTTCCTTTATCACTGGGGATAATTTCTTAGATAAAATGAAATGCATATCGCAATGAATGTAATTATTTTGTATCGGCGAATATTAAAATCACAATAAATTATCGTGACTTATGATTATTAGTGGAGCGAAAAAATAGTTGGTAATTGGTTTGAATGGAGTAGCAGGACCGACGCCAAACTTAGGATATGTAGTTTGTTTCGGTCATACTGGTTTAGCGAGTACTTTTAGTCTGTTATCGATTAAAACTTGCCCGCAAAGAAAAAAGGCGTTTATTGTGAAATGTTTGATGCACCTACGTTATTTCTCCAATTAACATTGACTTAGGTGTCTCAGGGTATCAGCTCACATCACTAACCGCTTGACGCCTAAGACCGTGAGGTTCCATGATTTCATTCACATTGGTGGCAGGATTTTCGATACTAGCTAGATAACTAGGTCGCATTCAACCGATGTCTGGAGGAGAATTCTAATGGCCGGCTGCTCTGATCGGTGGTTTTCCGCGGTATCCCCGATTAATACCCGGGGAATGCCAGAGGAGTACCCTCACAAACGGGCCACGAACCGCGCGCGATCTTTCCTTCCTCTTCTTTGTTCTGTTGTCACCGCTTACTTAGATTTACACGCACTACATTATCCTACACTCTCACAAATGATGGGAGACCAGTGGAGACCTAAGAGCTTGTCCCATCTGGGACGGTGCTCTGCTGGTTGAGGAAGATCGGCGCCGGATCTCGCCATCTGGCGGGGAAAGATCACAGCCTTTTCCCGAGATACGTGTTCTACACTTATGGGATTAATGACGCCAGTCGTTGATGCGTCCGGAAACGCAAAATAATCAATTATTCAATCAAATTCGCAGTTGGCACGCTCTCTACGAAAATAACAAAGATACGAAACAAACTATACCAGATATAAACATCGTTAGTTCCGAAATCCGCCGGGTCAATTACGAGTATATTTTTCATCGACTCACACAGGGTAGTAAAATGAGGTATACGAAATCTAAGGTTTACAAATGAAATGCATTTCGCGATTTAGACAGGTGCTGGCAAGTAGTGTGTGCTCTCATCTATAGTTCTTAAGCTCAAACCTGATTTGTTCATTAAGATATACGGTCACATTAGTATATCGAGTGGCTTAGAAAATGTTTAAGTCGCCGAGAAACGCCATCGGAACTTTATGGCCAGACATGTCGACGAAAGCGACCAGCTCGCATTAGAAAACAATGCGATTCAACAACGACCCAAGTTACTTCAAGTCTTTGCGCTCTTTATCTCGCCTCAAAGTTTTATTATTTTTTAATTTTTTTCTGCGTGATAAAAACTGGTCTAAACGATAGTATCTTTTCCCATTTTGTCAGTCACTTCTTGCTTTTGTACTTGGCGAAAATATCTGAAATTATTTTAATATTTCATACATTTTCAAACATTTTAATGCCTGCTGGCGTGATTTTGATATCCTTCATTTCTTTCCAGTAATGTTGAAGTAAGTATTGGTCATATTGGACAGTCAACACGGACGCTCCCGAGCGACGATGACGGGGAGAATAACATCCAAGACTCACAACTATCAGTGTGATTTTAATTTGGGAATGACTAATGAGATGTACAATAGTTCATACTAGTCAACATGAAGAAGGGTTTCATTGTTTGCTTGTGTAATTAAAATGAGTAGAAAATTGATACTGTATTGTATAGACTAGGGCGTAACCAAAATGGTATTAAAGCTCCCGTTGTTTATCGCAGCATAGTGAGGTATTATTAGCAAAATCACAACCGCCTTTCGTCTGTGGTAAATAGCATTTCATGATAAAAGGAATTCACACGTGTGATTATTTCAATTATAAAAGGATCATGATCATTAAAGGGAAATTAAAAGAATATTAAAGACTTAATAATAAGAAATCACTCGCGATATGTGGTTGACAACTTGATTGATATAGGAAGCTGATTATAGCAGTTTCCGTGCTTAATATGGTATTGTTCAATGAAGGGTTATGTAAATGTAATTACAGTTATTCAATAAATAAATTTGTAATGTTATTGAAAGATCTTATACTAATTTAACACGATCTCAACAATGCTAGTACACCCACCAAGAATCTCTTGTCGCACTTTACAATCATTCCAAAAATACATTTTTATGTGTGTTTTCCAGCCTACAAGATTTCCATACTCATAAAACAGGAGTTGGGTGACTATATATATATATATATATATATATATATATATATATATATATATATTACTCATCCTTATTATTACATCGATGGTTCTGGTATTGAAGTTAAATTGACTGTCGGGTCTTTTTTGATATTTAACGCTATTTAATTCCGGTATCAAAATTCCCTTTTATAGAATTAGGTGAGAGTCCGTTTATTAAGAAAATATTTCTCTCTTCTAGGCACCGGAGCCAGCGGACTCCTGGATGGGTATCCGCGATGCGACCAAGCCAGGCAACAAGTGTCTTCAATTTGACATGTTCAGTAAGCAGCTCGTGGGCGACGAGGACTGCCTGGTGCTCAACGTCTTCTCGCCGTGCCTGCCCAAGGGAGGAAAGAGCGACAAATTGCATCCGGTGCTCGTGTGGATTCATGGGGGTGGATTCGTAGGAGGCTACAGCGATTTGTACGACCCGGAGCCGTTCATGGATTATGGAGTAGTGGTGGTCACCATTAACTATCGAGTTGGGCCTCTTGGTACGTTACTCAAAAAGAAATTGACGAATACCCACAATGTAGAAAAGTATAAGTCATAATGATTCGGATGAACGTGTATGAACATTTAATTTTCAAGTTGTAATCGCAAATAAGCGCTAGGAAACAAATTATTATTCACCTGTTTTTTCTAGGATGTGATATCCCACTCACGTTGGTAAGGGTCTCATGATAGTTTTTATGGCGGGGGAAGAAAGAGCATGAATGCAAGCCACAATTTTCATTTTCGCTACTGAAATTTCTATGTAATCTATACTTAAAATTTTCCTTAAAGTGGTCTCCAAAAATTATGAATTAAGAAAGTTGCTTTTAAGGGTCTGGTCGCTGATTGGAGAAAGGGGTGGTCAGTTAACTGGGTTTCAAGGACCGTTTCAGGAACCATCGGTCTTTGAGAGGGGTGGTCGTTTAGTAGGTGTGGTCTTTCAAAGAGGTTTCACTGTATTTAAAACTAGCAATATAGTTAATAATACCGCTAGTGAGGTTGATACCTTCCAACAATTCGAGAAAAGGTGTTGTCAGGTACCAATATTTATATTCTAAATATCTTTTCGAATTTTGTTTAATACGACTCGCACATCCGAGAATTTCCAGAACTTCCTTTTCCACTCAGTCACTGCAAGATAGTTCTGATGAAGATCGCTAAGTCGTCGAAAAGATCTTTACAATAAAGATATTGATACGTGACAACACCTTCTCACAAACTAGCAATGTAACAATACTAATGATTATACTGCCAATAGTCAATCGGGCATTCGTCTTTGCATGGTCTGGAGAATACGTTCTTTAATGTATGGTAACATAGCATGGTTTGTTCTATCATTATCCTCGTGTTATTTACAAAATGAGATTTGAATGAATTGGGCTCGTTCTTCTACTTCTTTTTGAAGATATTCATTAATTTCGATAATATGACTCCTTACAGGGTTTCTCGGACTTAACACAACGGGGGCTCCAGGCAACGCAGGTCTCAAAGACCAGGTGCAGGCGCTGCGATGGGTCAAGGACAACATCTCCACTTTCGGCGGAGACCCCGAGAACGTCACAGTCTTCGGAGAAAGCGCGGGCGGCGCCTCTGTACATTACCTGGTCTTGTCTCCTTTAGCAAAGGGTTAGTAAAAGCAGCCAGCAGGTTCAAGGGTGAAGTTGCCATTTGAAACAAAATCATTGTGACCATTAAGGCCACAATTTAAATAGTTACTTTGTATACAAAGTTACTATTTAAATTCACACTCCAATAAAACAGCACAGGATCCTATTTCCTTTTGATCTTCATAATATTGCTCGATCACTTCTTATTGAACTATGTAGGTCTGTTCCGGTGGGCCATCTTGTTCAGAGACGTCATTCCTCCCAGTTCCATTATGATATATCCAAATGATCTGATTCAATTGATTATATGTATTAGGTTGGTCGATTGCGCAGAGCGATCTGTGCAGGAATTTCTTTCCTCCCAGTTCCATTATAACAAACCCAAATGATCTGACATCTGTTCAGGTCTGTTCCGTCGGGCGATCGCGCAGAGCGGCAGCGCGCTGTGCCCGTGGGCTCTGTCCCGAGACCCCGTGGGGCGCGCCAAGCGCCTGGCGCTGGCGGCCGGCTGCGACTCGTCCGTGGTGGAGGACCCGGCCGCGCTGCTCGAATGGTTCCTGAAGGTGCCGGCGCACCTGCTGGTGGGCGCGATGGAGGCGGCCAAGACGGCGGACGAGCGGCGGCGCGGGCTGGTGTTCACGTTCGTTCCGTGCGTGGAGCCACACCACCGCGGCGCCTTCCTGGCCGACGACCCGGCCGCGCTGCTCGCCTCCGGAGATATCAACCGCGTGCCGCTCGTCATCGGCCTCTGCTCACACGAAGGCATCCTGGCTTTGCCTGGTGCGTGGTTGCAATTTGCGTTATAGATAATTATAGGTACAGGAAACGGAAGGTCTTTGCATGGGAAGGCATTAAGTTCCAACATATCCCAACAAAATTTTTGGAACTACAAGAAAAATGAATAATAACAAATAATGTCTATATTGTTCTGATTTTTACTATCTTGTCTTACTACGTACCTTCTCTCACTTGGTAAAGTGAGAATGGTAATTTTGCGGCAAAAATATGCGATTTTTCGAAATAAAAACCTGTATGTGCGGTATTGTTATAGAAAATGTACATTAATATTCTTTCTACATGTAGTAAATTATTTCCTCAAGCAGGTTGTGTAATGATATTGCACGTTTTATGGTTCTTTGATATAGAAATATTGGTTGACGGTGAAACCCCTGGCAATCTTTTCGTCTATTGTCCACTAGCGCCTAAACTGTTCAGACGATTTTCTAAAAACATTGTGTTCCCCGATCCATCGGAATTATCACGATATCTTGTGAGTTTAAAACGGATAATTTGATTCTTGGAGGTACTCTTCATATAGTCTCAACATCGTTTTCAAACCTTCCTCAAAAAATGGTTCGAAACGTGTTGATTAAACTTTGCCTTAGAACTTAAACTTTGATTAAACTTTGCCAAGAAAAAGTGTTGATTAACCTTTGCCTTTGCGTAAATAATGCTTAAATGAATGGCATAGGTCTCATTTCCGTTGCAATCCCTGATTTTTCGAAAATTCTGCTTTTTCAATTTCTTCGGAACACTTCAAATGGCCCGGGTATAAAATTCGTTTTACATGCTTTCGAGTTTTCAAAAATTTGTATCTGTTTTTAGTCATTATATGGCACGTAAAGGACACTTGGCCTCGGCGCCGTTAGATCCCGGGGTTCTTAGTTGGTCACCCAACCACGAACCGATGATGTTTCGAATTCGTTTAACCTTCGTGACTTCACGTAATTAACGAATTCGGTTAGCGATGCCGGTTTCGCGATTTGGACTTTCAGTAGAACCATCCCAGCACTCACCTCGATGACAGAGGGAAACCACTAAAATCGCGATCAGAATGTCCGGCACGGGGATTGAGCCCAGGCCTCCAGTACGCGAAGTCTGGGCACTAGACACTGTGCTTTTTCGTTGGGCTTTCTATCGCTTTCATGAAATGCGTGTGGACTTTGATTCTTATTTATGTAATAAGGCTTGATTCATTCATCGTTATTCTGATAAAACGTAAATTTAAAAGAAATGGCCCTAACATCCTTTTTTATTTCAAATCTTCAATTATCGAACAAGTATCCAACTTCACTTATCTTGGATGCAAAATATCAATTAACATCAACCCCTAAATGCAAGAGATTGTAAGTAAATACTTAAGTTGAATAGAGTTATGAAGAAGCATTTAAAAAATATCTTAAATAACACCCTAATGAGATTTCACAATGTGATATCTCATTCCCCACTCTGCTTCACAAGTGAAACATAGTCACTACGAAAAAATCACGAAAGAAGAAGCGTCCCAAATGAATTTCTTAAGAAATCTACTGAGTCTAACCTTGAAGTACAGAGTTCTACACGAATACAAAGTCAAGGTTAAAAATATCGATAGTGTATTATCTGTGTAACCTACCTCGCCACGGCTGAGTTTGCCCGGCTCAGGCGAGAGAGAACGCATACATGCAGTGTATATTTTACTAGTTCTACCATTGAAACATGAGATCATGAACAATTAATTTAATCAAACCCGTCGATATTCTCTGCGGCCCTATCTCATATCACGGGATTGTTAGCTCCGGCGCCCGATCCGATTATTATTAGCCAACTGCACATCCAATTAAGGGCAAGGACCTCCTGCTCGCGCAAGGAATTATTAATCCTTCTTTAATGAAGTGATAGGATGATGATGATGATGATGATGATGATGATGAAGGGTGAAGGGACGATCACAAATACATCCATGCCCGAGGCGGAATTCGAACCCGTGATCCTTCGATCCGAGATCGCCACGACACTACTGCCTTAGGGATCTCGGCTATTCGGATGGACGATTCGCCTTTACTCTGCGGAAAATAGCCGGCGCGGTTCATACAAAGCGACGCGACTCGGCTAGCATCAGAGTAGGCTGAAATTTACTCGCTAAGCATAAGGCATATAGTATAACTTGGTTCCGAAACTCATTTCATAAGAAAATAGGGGAATGGCGAATTTACTGTATTTATATGTCCGGCGGGCCCTCTCTCACACCCTAAGACGCAGGTGCCCTTTTGCCAATCGCGCACCTGCACGCAGGTCCCATGATTTCCTCCGTGTTCGTTTGCTGGTGTGTGGTGTCATGCAGGGTGCAATAATACACGGACGAGAGCGGTTTGAACTTATTGCTAGTTTATTTACTAATCCACCTCCGAAATAAACTTTAGTTACAATTGTTCATAAACGAAATCAATCATCCCCACTTCTAGGAGCAATTTTCATTCTACGGCTACCACACCCTCCACTTAAATATCGAATAAATCCGCTCGGGTGAAGCACCGCAGAATTCATATACGACTCGTCACAAGAGTCTCTACTTCACGACAACGTTCGCTGCCGGTCCTTGCCTACGCGCCCGTTGTCCGACCCCAACCGGCGCGCTGCCTCTGATCCGGACAGCTCGGTTTCTCAAGAACAAGAGCTCTTGGAGTGACGCCGCCGCCCAGCTTGGCTGGCCGCGTCCTCCCCCATTCTCTCTGGACCTCTCTATCAGTCACGACCTGACGTCCCACCCCCAACCCAAGCGGCCTGCCACGCGGTGGACACATGGTCACGGCCACATGGTCACTCTGGCGAACACATGGTCACTTCTTTGTGCACGACGCTACAGGTGGCACCCGGCGCCGGGTTTCTGAGAGGGCGCCGTAAACCGTCGCCCTTCCTGCCGTGTTGCTTTGCATTCCGAACGTGGCCCACGAGAGAGACGTGAGATATCCGAACTGCCGACGTCACGGTTCTGCCGACAGCGCCCGGGTTCGCACTAAGGGCTCGGCGCCACCTGCCGCTTATCTTTCCGGATTAAGCGCCCCCAGTAGTACTTTTTCTCGACTGTCATTTTATAGCCCTCTTGAGCAGGTGAAACCTTATAGTAATTTTGCAGTGTAACACACAAGTCGTGAATTTATTTTACAGAACGGCTTTCATAATAACAGTAGGCTATGTCTCTGTGCTGTTACAATAGTAAATGACATTAAAAAATACCAACAGAAATAGTTCCAACATGTAAACAGAATGGAGCCAAATAGAAATTCTATGTTATCTATCTTATATAAAGTTAAGGCCTTCAGAAATCTAAGCCTAGAATGAGGTGGTCGGAGTAGTTCTGAGTCTCGGCACGGGTCATTAGCTCCAATCCTTGCCAAGAAAGAATAATTCGTTATAATGACGATGACGTTGGTTTTCTTAGGCACCCTTCTGCGCCTGGGGTTGGTGCCGATGCCGAGCCCGGGGGGCGAGTCGCCGGCCACCCCCGAGGCGGCGGCGAAGGCGCTGGAGGCGGCGGAGGCCAAGGCCATGGAGGCGGTCGCCGCCGACCTGGAGCGAGTGCTGCCCGAGGACATCCTGCTGGGCAAGAAGAACCTGCAGCGCTCGCGACAGCTCGTGGAGACCCTCAAGGACTACTACTTGGACGGAAAGCAGCTCACCGACGAGACGCTTGAGGGATTTGTGCATGTAAGCTTTTTTATTCTTCATTTTTGTAGCCTCATCGTAAAGTATCTTCTTCGACTCATTAAATCAAACGAAAAGTAGAATTTCAGACACATTTCTTTACGTTTTCTGTAGTTTGCAAAAAATATTCTGCAATATGAGACATTCTATAATAATCATTGACAATAACTACGCACCATGAAAGCGTTTTGTGATTTGCATGTAACTTGACATGGATGAATGTAAGGTAGTAAATGGAGGCATAGAACACATAATTTTATTTTAGAAAACTGAACATTTTCTCTGTTACTCTAGTTTCCGCGAGTTTAACGAACGCCAGCCATTAACAGTGGTTTTCATTATCTTTGTTTGCAATAAATCCATTTCAATAATAATATTTCAGTAGTACGGAATAACAATTTTCATTTTTCGTCGTGAAATCGTTTTGAAGTCTATTTCAAATCCTAGTTAAAGTTTTCGTTTGTTCTTCTTGCAAACATCGTTCGTAATTCAACAAAGTGTCGTACAAGAGAGAGACTGGGGATTCTGGAGCTTGCAAAGGCGTGAGCAGATTGTCTCCCCTCCATAAGCCACAGTTTTTACTTTTTCTTCGACAACAAATAAATAAAACAAAACCATCTGCCCCTTTTTTTGTTGCAGATGAACACGGACGTTCACTTCGGCCTGGGCATCATGCGCGCAGCACGGGAGCATGCGCGGTTGGGATTGCCGGTGTACTTGTACGAGTTTGCTTTCATTGGCCGCAATAACTTCACAGAATACCTGCTGCAAGGCTGTAAAGTAAAAGGCGCAAGCCACGGTGATGAGATGGGGTACATGTTCAATATGCCAATAGCTCCTCCTGTGGAGAACGGAGGCCAGGAGGAGCTGACGAAGAAACGATTGTTGACGATGTGGACTAATTTCGCCAAGGGCGGGTAAGTAGGTTGAAATGTTGAAGAGGTTGAATAAAAAAAATAAACATCTGGAAATATTGCACCCCGTGTACTGTAGTATTAGGGAGGAAAAGTATTGGAATCATCTCAACAATACAATCTCGAATTTTCAGTCGTAAAAAAGTGTTCTTTTAGACTGAAACTGCACACACACGTCAAAATTAAGGTATATTCCAAAAATTATTACTTATTGTGCAGGTTGTGGGAAGATACATGGAAATTTTGTTCGCGAAAATTGGGATGTCTATGTGCACAGATGAGTGTATTCACAGATGTAGATGTACACTGCGTAGATGGATGAATGAAAGTATGTGACGTGCATAACTCGATCAAATTGGAAACTTTTAAGCTGAAGCTTGGTACAAACGTCAGAAGGGAGATCTAGTTGTGCCGTTCCATAAATATTTAATACAAGCGATATTGTGCATATCTTATTAAAATCACTGACATTTTGAAAAATGCAACAGTATAAATATATTTTCGAACCTTCCCTACACCTCCGAAATGAAAGTCATAGATATTTGTTTCGTGTAATCAACACCTTAATTTTAGATCTTTAAATGATGTCATGATCAAAAAAGTATGAATAGTTTTTTAGTAATAACCCAAGACAAGAAAATGTTTCGGTTGATTGATTCATTGTTATTTCCTGGTACGTCAACTGCTATTGGCATTTGAGATTGGCTGTTTGAGTAGTGATTGTTTTGTTCAGAGAGGTAACGATGATTTCTTCCCCATTGCATGGTAAGATACGGCGCCGACGTATTTGTCGGTTTAAGGAGGATGTCCCCTTCTAGGAATCTCTTAGCGGGACAAGCTCTTGTATCCCGGCATGTGTGGTAGTGAACTAAAATACATGCACTACAGTACGTCATATGTAGTAGTGTCTGTATACGTAAGGGGAGATAATAGGTCACGGAATTAAAAGGAAAGATCGCACGCGACCCGTGACTCCCGTTGTTAGGGTACTACTCCGGCATTCGCCTTGTGTTGATCGGCAAACTACTGATCCGAGCAGCCGGACAGGAGTGTGATTTTTTGCGATAGGGGATATTAAATAGAACTCAATACTATCTTAGAATTTGAATGTAAGTAGGACTTTCATTGATATTCAGTTGCGTAAGTTGACGCATTTACTCCATATTGCATCAAAAGTTTCTTTCATTAGAACTCATTTTCTAAGAAAGTGTCATTAGTCTCAAAACACACAGGCATCAAGTCGCACAGCGCGCAGATATGAGATTGTGCAATGCCCCATTGTCGGTGAAATGCCCTTTCCGCCATGACGAAAGTCGCATAATTGCGGCCGAAACGTTGGCAACTGTGCCTATGACGCGGCGATTCCCGGACAGACAAGTAGTTATTGACAAGCAGTTGTAATTTACAAGTTCCTGCAAGAGAAAAAAACATATTTGAAACGCAATTGATTTTTTTCGATAATGAAATACATAATACACAGGATGTAAATAAATGCTTGTCAAAGATTTCGACGACGGTTTCCCAGCATCACAACAAACAAAAAACTTTCTACAGACATGGTTCTGAAACACCATTTTAAATTTACAGGTCCCTATAGCTAATTATACAACTCTTCGGGTGGATTAGATATTTTGTTAGTTCAAATGTAACATTTTACAAACTGTTTGAAACAATTAATTACACAACAACGAGAAACAACCATTGGTAAATAACATTCTTACAACAATTGCTCATCGTGAGCTCTCTCGGCGTCGATTCAGCCCCCAGCATGCCTCGACCACTGTATTGAAAACTCCTGCCGTAAAACGTATTTATTTTTTACTGATACCGTAAAACGGGGTGAATAGGGCCCCTTTTCGTGTTCAAATACGTAAATCTCCTAAACTAATCGTGGTAAAGTGATGAAACAAAATCCATTTTATGGGTCTTGATTTGCAGTTTTGAATCCTATTTACTGTAAATTGTTAAAAGGGAATTATGCATGGCTGGGGTGAATGGAATCAGCCATATAATTTTCATTAATGCATTAAGACGCTCGTGGTATGATTACGATCATTTAATTTATCTTTAATGTTTGCAAAATAGGAAACTGAAATACGTATTCTAATGCAGGTATTTAATGTGTAAGAACTAAAAAATCTACGTACAAATAAACAAGCAAAATAATACAACTTATTCTAAGTACAAATGGTCAGCAAAAAATGTGTGTTGTCCTCTTTGAATGTTGGAGACTTTTATTCTCCTCTCCACTTCAATAGGGATAACTTCACATGTATCTTCACATCATAACTTCACATCATAACTTCACATCATCTACATCGATGTAAACAACAGTTGTTTTCTTTCCAATTCTCTTTCGGAGGCATTTCACGATTAGTAAGGATTCAAAGGCGGTGACAAGGTTCCCAATAAATCTCCTTTTTCTCTTGTTTGTGTCAAATTTAACAATTACAAGGTCACCAGGTCGCGAGACAAATTTCTCAGATTCTCTAATGTGGATTTTGCCGTCGCCTGTGTTCTCTTGCAATCTGAAATTAACATTGCTGTAAGGCACAGTGGTGAGCTTTGTTGAGGATGTTCATCAGCTTCTTTTAGATCAATTGTAAGACCGTTACTCTCGCCAGAATCAGAGAAATCTAAAGAGGAACCATAGAACGCTGTTGTCTCACAGGTTCCATCGATCCCTCGCAATTCTTGTAGCAGCTGAATGAACATCCTCTACATGGGCGGGTTCTTCATAACTCTCAATATCAGGGACCCTGATTATTACTTTAATTGGATTGAATGGTATGATACCACATCCAGCCTTAATGCTGCTCTTAGCATTTTCCTCTAGTGCGGTTACAAGAGTTCAGCAATCTTGCAAACTTTCTTTTGGGAACAGTGGACTCTTACCGACCGGGGCCCATCTTCCACTTCCGCAAAATATTACACCAAGTGGCCTTTAATGGCCGAAAAAATGCGACATCAAGAAGATGAGTTCGATGGGTCGAGTATTTAGTAAAAATATAATCCTTATGACATTTTCTTTACATGCTTTTACTGATGTCACTGATAAATGCGTGGAAAGGTTGTAGCCGATTTAGATTTTGAGGCCCTCTAACTTTTTGAAGTAAGGCAATATAATGACGGTAATCCAGTCATCAAAACATTGAGCGACACCCACTTGTAGGTGTGTAATTTTACTATAGTAATGTGAGATTTAGTGGTACTGTATAAACAGAAATTTACGACTGAGACTCGTGGATCTCGAAATTATAATCCCTTTTCTTTGTAGGTTTGGAAACTCCTCATCAGCAGTCAAATAGCTGTTTATCACATAATATCTGCTATTCCTCGTCACTGTAACGTACATCCCCTACCCTAACCACCTCGAGTTTGCCTAAAATGCCTTCACGCGCTGAAGTCCGAAGTATGCTTCGAAGTTGTTTCTACTTTCGACTTTATCCACCTATTTTGGATAATATTAATATTAAAAGACAAAATTGTTAATTAGCCAGATTCGAATTTCAGCCATAACATACAGTACGTTATTAGAAATTGATTACTTCAATGTTAAAAAGCGACATGATCTTCGATAGGGTATTTTGAACATTCTTTCTTGACTTGACTCACGTCGTGAACGAAACAAATGCACGACTTTATTGTATCGCTTGTACTGTAGATCCTTGTATCCAGTTAATTAGATTGAAGTAAAACTATTTTTATGGAATTTATTTATGGAACAACAGACAACTAATTTAAGATATAAAAACTTGTTTTAATATCGAAAGCAACTGTTGATTTAAAGTTTTCTCAAAACTTCAACTTTTGTTTTGCAGGAACCCAACTCCAGCTCAGGACAATGTGATAACTGCAACTTGGCTTCCTTACTCTCAGCATGCTCCCAATTATCTTCAGATATCCGAAGATCTCAAGGCAGATTCTGGAATCTTGAAGGAGCGTGTAAAATTCTGGGAAGATTTATACCGCAAATATTAAAGAAATTTAATGAACATTGTTGCATAAACTATTACCCTCTAACTCGTAGACTTTTCATTGACACTAATTTATTTTTAGAAGCACAGTTGTAAAATTGTGTGTTTTAAATATAATGTCTTACATGTTAACAATGAAATTATTTTACAATAATATGAAAAAGGAAGAAAGCATGTACCCACTTATTCCCGTAATCTATGAAGCTATTCAATTCCAACACCAATTAATACTTCCAATCAAATGAATAAAGAAATTGTCAAATAAAATCATCACCAGCAAATATTTCAACATGTAGCTGAGAGGTGTTCATGTGGGGGCTGAAGTTTTAGAGTCGGAGAAAGTAAGCGAATTTGGGCCAAGAGCATTGGGATCATACAAGTTGCCTCTAATATTTTTGAATGCTCTAATGAGATCGTTAATCTATTTTAAGAGAATAGCAGTCAATTTTCAGTGAAATCGCTTTAGTAAGAAGGATTAGTATTACAGAGTTTTTGTAGAGCGTCTTGGTGTTTTTGTGCTATATATCGTAAGGCATTATGTGCAGAGGGAATCAGTATTTACAACTTTTATGCTACACGTTACAAATTTAGGGAACATTTGTAAAAACTCAAGTTTTCATGATTTCAACTTGCTAAGCAATGACCTCAAACATTCGACTTGCATTCTAAAGGTACTTTCATATAGTATTGTGATTAGGGTCGGATGCAAAAAGTGTGTCGTTAAATACACTTTGCAATAGCAAAACGGCTTGGAAAGTAGATTTGTGTGGAAACTGCGAAAAGATTGACTCCCAAAGAAATGGGAGTTGTCATGACATGCTAATTTCTTATAAACAATTACATATCTCGAAAATGAAAGGCGATAGCGCCGATCGGATTACGAAATTTTGCATCTCGTTTAAAGGCAGTTTAGAAAAACTTTATAAACAATTTCCAATTTTTACCATTCTGATGAGGGAAGGGTTCCCTGATGTTCCAAAACCAAAAACTGCGAATTGATAATTTTGCAACAATTTACAATTTTATAAACAATTCCCAAACGTGCGCCATACATCCAGGGAGGTCCACAAATTGTCTCTGAGGTAAGTATTGCAAAATAACAATTTTGACAAGAGATGCAAAGTTATTACTAAATACCTGGTTTAATTGTTGCCAAAATGTTAATTTCGTAAACACTGCTATTTGAAAACTATTACGCCGCTAAAACTTCCCATTCCCAAATATTTTTCTGATCCTGGAGCCGCCTTCGCACACTTTGTATGCATGACAAAATATTGGAATTGTGGTGAGTTTTCGTTCGCATTTACAATGAAATAATTAGATGAGTCGTCATTTCCAACAATATTGTTTATTACAAGAGCAGATTTCAATGACTTAGCCTTCATCATCAGTTTTCTGCTGTATCGAAGCCACAAAACGACTACGTACAAAATCCGTCAGAGTTTGCAACTGGTTAATTCAAACTGGTGGCTTTCAGAATGGCTTATTCGGGCAATAATAATAATAATAATAATAATAATAATAATAATAATAAAGGGAGCATTTTTTGGACATACTTGCCCCCTTATATTAATACTAAATTTCTTGTGCTCAAATACGCTAAACGTGAGTTATATAAAAAGAGACCATTGGAATCAGCCAGTCACAAAACTGTGATGGATTTGGTCGTGCACACCACAATTTAAACGTAATAATTAAGTATATCAATGCCAGACCTAAAATAAATGTTTTAAACTCAAACAGCATATTTATTAAATTTATTTAATTTGCATTTATTTACGGGAACTATTTATAAATTATTACCAGCATATTTTCATTAAAAATTTAGAAATATGCAATTTGTGTAATACATTTTGAAGCTCCATTGGACCCTGAGGACCCAAGCAATAGCTTATTTAGCTTAAGGGTAAATCTTTCTTTGGCTCGTCAAACGAAAATCGAATATTTTATTTCAAAATTAATAAAATTACCCTCAAACTACTGATATTTTCAAAAAACTGAACTATCGTTTTCTAATGACTGATATTGTAGAACACATTTCATTGAACTAAAAATGTCTACTATCAATATTGTACTTTTCCAATATTTATTTTTTGTTGCTTATTGGTTGGTTTGAAAATCTCGAACAAATATATCTAGCACCACAAACAACAAGCACTTTCGCCTTGCCGGTCGCATACTGAGGATCAAATGGTCGCCCCCGAATGAAAGTAAACATGGGAATTGACACCCATTGCTTGGCTGGTGTTGATTTTCATTTATTTATCATTGTGTTTTAAGGTGAATGTCCACATATTGTTTCACATCGAGGGTATCATATTTTTTACACTATCTCGTACGTCAGTAACATTTTATTTATTTAAGAGTTCGCTAAAATGTTGCAGTTATATTCTTTAGAGTCTAAAGATGGGGAAAGAAATTATTCTTCAAAACGTTGCAAAAAAATGTATTTAAAGAAGAATTAATAGTTCAGTTTGTTTTATTCTAAAGGAATATTCATTTCTTAATAATTTTGTGAATTGGTCAGACAAGAGAACTCCCGTGGCCAAAGTATATTCCCACATAATTGACAAATATGATTTAGTACATAAAAAACTGCTAAATAATATATGCTCATGTTATCTGAGGACACCATGATCCGAACCTCGCCCAGCGATAGAGAACCATGAGGCAGTGATAGATAACGTCACCTTCGATTACAGTATTCGTGACTTTGACTGAGCGGCAGGGTGCGTCATTCGGTCGACGCCACAAGAACCCTGCAGGAAACCTCTTCTGCAGCTTCCAGGCCTAACCCTATTCCAAAACCCCTCTTGGCGAAATCCAATTCAAGGTAGCCTCCAATTCGAGGATGGTGAACTAAAAAACTAAATTTGCCTGTCAATATTGCTGAACCTTATTTTCCTCCAAGAGGATAAAATGTCACCCCATATTTGGTAACGATACAAAATATTAATAGAAACAATGTAACCTGCAACGTATCAAGATGGCCTAATGGTAGGGCGGCGTGGGCTGGCTTTTCCGGGGCAGGGGGAAGGGGTAGGATTAACTGGGTGCGAGGCCTGCTTAACAGTTGATTGTGATAAATACATGTGCAACATCAAAATAATCAGAACGGGAGAGGTGGCTAGTGCATCAACTGATCTCACTGCTGTGCCTCAGCTCGGATGATCCTAGGTTCGAGTCTCGACAGGATTTTCGACACTAGCTACATAGATAGTTCGAGTTCAGTAGCTGTCTGGAGGAGAATTCTAACGGCCAACATCTCTGATCGATAGTTTTCCGTGGTTTCTCCAATCAACACCAGGCAAATGCCAGAGCAGTGCCCTAACAAACGGGCCACGTACAGCGCGCGATCTTTCCTTCCTCTTCCTTGCACTATCCTCACCCCTTACTCACACACACGTACATGCACTACACTATCATACATGTCCGAAGTCCAATCTTGAGCTTAGAGCTTGTCCCGGCTGAGGCTGTGGAACCGGCTGAGGCTGCTGCTTACGGAACTACGGGCCTTAGCAGTTCACGCGCCCGCAATTACCAACCAATCAATCAATCAAGAGTAATCAGCTAGTTATAAAAGCGAAGTTACATGTCGGAGTTTAGATTGAACTTTCGACTATCTAATTATTATAAGTCGACTAGCTTATATGACAATTATTGCAAACAACCCTTCACAGGTGGAAATCTTTTGTGGGAACTAATAATCCAATGATTGGTTCTGAACCTACAAACGACGGTGCTATATTCAAGAAACTTAATAAAATAAATTCATTAAATAAAAGACAAAATCTTCACAGAAAATACATTTTAAATTAATGAAAAGTAAAAATGCTAACATTGTCTAAAAGGTTGGATGACATGTGAGATATATACAGAGTTATTGGTATTATTTACTAATGCTAGAGGTATTATAAATTTGGTTCTTAAACTTGGTAATTTTCGTCTATCTACTTTGCCGTGCTCTTTGTCGTCCTCAGCTACGAGTTAGAATTTTTCCTTTCTCACACTTACTAACCTAAGAAGGGAAAGTATTGTAATAGTGCACCGGAAAACGGCAAATTTTCGACACAAAAACTTTTATTGCCGGGCTCTGGTAATGAAAAAGTTACTAGTTACTTCCAGTTACTAAATATAGAAAAAATTCGTACCAAAACACGATTGACGGTCAAATGTCTATTAGCACGTCCGTCCGACTGTCAGTGCACAACACTAGCGAATAGACCGATCAGTCAATTTTATCCAAAATTGATATTTCCCAATCGTTTTGGTTGATGATCGTTGGTCGTTTAATTCCCTGATTTTTAAAAATTGCAACAACAAAACATTTAAAATACACAATTGAAGATAGAGTTTTTTGTGTCAGACAAATTAATGAAGCATATGGGCGTACCGTCGTACGTAACGATAACATTGTTATATTGCGTTATATTGTTTAGCACTTACTTTGAAAACTATGAAAATGAGAAAGCGCATTTCTCAGGTTGTGAAGACTACGATACGGCGTAGGGATGGCAATGTGCTAAACACACGTGCCCCTTAACCTAAGGCCGCAAGGTACGAACGCTGCTGATAGGTCGTAAAGAGCTGTTGTGTCAAAGTATACACGTACATGGAATATCGTCCCGAATATGGAAATCGTCTTTTTATGCAACGAATTTTTTGCAAAATTGCAACAATATTCTTTTTTTCTTCTTTATGCCATAATGTATAAAATAAAATTTGTGTAGTTTGTACGTATGTGACATATTGTAAACGGAAGAATCCTGTATAAATTAGTAAATATATTATGCAATGTAACCGCGAATTTATAATTCCCATCTGTCATTCTTATGTCTTATCACATTCTTTGGAGACAGATATGCTTCTTGAGCAGTAGTAGTACTAGTAGCAATAGAGAAAGAAAGCACATTGGCTAGTGTCCTCGAAAATATTTTTGGCGTAAATAAATCTTCTAAATAACTTTCGGCAATTAGGTAAATACTCCATAACCGTTTCCTCTTGGCAATTCACACGTTTATTTCCCATCCAAAGGGGCAGATCAAATGATCTTACTAACCTGTGTAGGGCTGTTCCGGCGGGCGATCGCGCAGAGCGGCAGCGCGCTGTGTCCGTGGGCTCTGTCCAGAGACTCCTTTCCTCCCAGTTCCACTATGACATATCCAAACGATCTGACTCATCCGTTCAGGTCTGTCCCGGCGGGCTTTCCCACAGAGCGGCAGTGCATTGTGCCTATGGGCCTTGTCCAGAAACGTCTTACCTCCCAGTTTCATTACGACATATCAAACGAGCTGATTCAACTTAGTAGGTCCTGTTCCACTTGCTGTTTGCTGCCGGAGACATTAATCACGTGCCCCTTGTCATAGGTCACACGAGGCGATGCTGCTCTTGCCAGATATGCATGTAAACAGTTCCATGAGTTGTCTCGGAGCAATGGATCATGAACTGTTAGAATTGTAGATGAAGCTGAATAAAAAAACTTCATACTTAGCGTGAAAATATTGTAGAAATTCAAAGGTTGAAGATTATATGTCTTTTTGTGATTCACAGACTACGTGTACATGTTTGTTCATGTCTATACCTCTAGGGTTTTGAAGTGTCCATATCATCGGTGGTCGATCCCTGTGTTGTAATTCGTGATGTGTTGGTAACTTCCACTGCTGGATGGTGAGATCCAATGCTGATCTACACGCCGACCAGCAAAGTTTTTTCCAACAAAGTATCTCCCAGTGGAGCACCGCCCCAGCCTCGAATAGCTCTAAGCTCCCGATTGGTCACCCATCATGTTCGATAGAGTAGTAAATGAAAGCGTAAGTAAGGAAGAAGTAAGGAAAGGACAAAGAACAGGAAGGAAAGATCGCGCTCGGTCCGTGACCTGTTTGTTAGGGTGTGGAATCGACATTGATCTGGTGTTGATCGGAGAAACCACGGAAACTGCCAAGCAGAACAGACGGTCGCTAGAATTTTTCTCCAGGCACCGGCAGCACTAGACTCAGCTTTTTAGCTACTATCTAAAATCCTGACACGGTCGGGACAAGTACCTTGGAACTCTCGGTGAGAGGCACTGGGGGTAACATAAATAGATGTCCTGAGACATAATCATGAGCATCCGCATCCATCATGTAGATGTAAACTGGATTGAAACAGATCTGCCTCATTCCGCCTTCCGTCAAGAATCTCATTGCACTATTTACTTCATTTACATTTTTTTATTCTTCACTAGATTTTTTCCACTAATCATAGTCGCTCATTTATTGTCATCCTGTTGAGGCATCAGAGTAGGTATCGGCTCGGCCATCGTCCACGCGTACCAAATCCCTTCAATAAATCAGTAAATGTTGTTGCTGCAAATTCGAGTGCTACAGTTGCTAGTCTTGCGTAAAAGATAATTGGTTGCAAATCAATGATGTGCAAGGCAACGATGCATATAAATAATGTATGTGATCCATTCGCTTGTTAATCACTCATATACAAAAACATATGTTACAGATATCGCTTTAAGCATCTGATTTCATGATATGTGATCTGAGATTTCCAATTAATTGGATTTCTTATGCATCTATTCTTCTAAGTGGGTCGAGTGCGTCGAGTGCGTGTCAGTTAAGCGGTCTTGAATGTTATTATTATTGCAGTCCTTATAAAGAATTATGTATTTCATTTTGTAATAAATGACTTTCAATTTTAAAAATAGGGTAATTTTTACACTTCATCTCTTATTTGATTTAGCAATTAGTTTCTATAACACGGGAGCGAACGTTGTGAGTTATCAAATGTTGCCAATACTGCTCGTTGCTACCTTCATTCATAATTCAACAAAGAATCGTACAAGAAAGAGAGTAGGGATTCCGAAGCTGAGGAATACGTGCGCAGATTGCCCCCACCCCTTCCATGTGCCACAAAAATGTACACCTAATTTCAAAATCTATCTTTAAGGAACAGATTTCATTAAAACAAAACGTCTCTGTCTCTAATATTTTAGTTGAAGGAAGATGCAAAAAAATTTTTTGAACTTTGGAAATTTTCGAAAAATTAGGGTTTTTAACGAAAATGTGACCTGAGGCCTTACCATTTTTAAAACGTTCTTAACACTATACAACAATTAAATTTAATATAAAAGCAATGCAATTTTTTTCAGTTTGGAAAATGTTCATGTAAAGTATCCCCCAAAATTAAAATATCACTTTAATATGCAAGGGACAGTAGCATTAGCTTGATCGATTGCGGAATGTCAGTTTTGGAGAAAATTGGCTGATTGGTTTAGCCACTAGCGTTGTTCACGGAGGGACGGACGGAGGGACGGACGGAGGGACGGACG